TATATATATTATGCAAATGTGGGAATATTTAAAAGATGAATTGCATTTTTAAAAAAAATACCCACATTTTATGACGAGTAACGTCAATACCCATTATAGAATATGGATACCAGAGTGTCATCTGAGCATATTTTGTACCCCTGCTATGACGGATGTTGACCATGCAACATAAAACTTGTGAACATTCTATATCGCGGGATTTATGTCATGTCTCAAACCAATATATAATATTCAAAATATCTGTCATGGAATGTCCTATTACACTGATAAATTCCACATAATATCCACATAGGCATCACTGTTAATTACTTAAATGAGGTTAATGAAATTTCAATCATTGATATTAATTAAATAAAACTAAAACCAAATTTGAGTCACTTAATAATAATAAAATAAAATTAAAACCAAAAAACAAATTTAAGTAAGAAAGGAATAATTTATACCGGTATAGTTTAATGAAAGAGGCAAACCAGATAATGCACCTTTATCCTTATTGGTGGAAAAGTTAGAAGTGACTTTTATAGGTGGTGCATGCGTGGTAGGGACTAGCCGACTAGGTAGGTTAAATGACGAAACACAGAGCCTCGTAGAAGAGCGAGTGCTAAAAACACACATCACTCCCAAAGGACAGCCTCGTAAATCCACGTCTTTCCACTGCCAAGTGCAATGTGCAATGACAGAGAATGTAAAAAGCCTCACTCTCAAAGTCACAGAATCCTCGCCCACAACAGAGAGAGAGAAAGCGAAATGGGGTTATTTCCGAAAGTGAAGGGCAACAACACCGACAGCCAGAACAACAGTGGCATGGGTTTTCTCTTAGTTTTGTTCCCAGAAGATAACACTTCAACACCAACACCAACACCAACACCAACCATTGCTACCAAAACCAACCTTGTCTCTCCTTCAAACAATGCTCTTCTCTCCAAAGCCCAATCCACACTTTCTATATGCCTCCTCCTCCTCTTCACCACCCTCCTCCTCTTCACCCTCTCCACCTTCGAACCCTCCAAACCCCACAACGCCCGAAACGACGCCGTCGTCGTCGTAGCCAACCCTCCCTCTCCCACCGCACTCCAACGCATGGGCCACCTCTACCGCAGAGGCACCCGCCCCATGAACGACATCGTCGTTTGCCACGTCACCCCAGACACCACCCACCACGACTTCACCCTCTTCCTCAGACTCCTCCACCGCTCAACGCTCACTTCCAAATCCGACGTCGTTTTCATCTTCCCCTCCTCCTCCACTCGCTCCACCCTTGCTCCCATTCTCCACCAAGAGAACAACTCCTTTCTCCAACTCGTTAATCTCCACGCCGAGTTGAACTCAACTCGCTTCACCAAATCGTCCGGCTCGAGCTTCAACGTCACCAAATTCTTCAAGGTGTCCAAGACAGGAGACCCTGTTTGGGGCAAGAAAATTCGAAGTGCAAATAATAGTGGCTCAGGAGATGAGTTGACTCGGCTGAGTTACGGCTCGGTGCTGAGTTTCGACGCCAACGAACTCGACCCGGAGAATTCCCTGGCCGGGTTTCTGAACCGGGTTCCGCTGAGTCTAAGAAGGTGGGCGTGTTACTCCATGTTACTCGGCCGAGTCAGGAGGAACTTCAAGCACGTGATGCTCGTGGACGTTAAAAGCGTGGTGGTTTTAAACGACCCACTCGGGCGAGTCAGGAATCGGAGTCCCGACTCGGTTTATGTTTTTCCTAGTGGAAAACACGGGAGGAACTCGGAGAGGACTCAGTCTCCGCGCCTGGTTAACCCCGCGATTTTGATGGGCGGCGCTCGCGGGATTCGGCGAGTTTCCAACGCGATGCTGGTTGCGATTGTTCGGGCCGCAATGCAGCACAAGAGGAAGAACTCGGTGTCTGACTCGGTGATTCTGAGTCAACTCATGCGCAACGGGTTTGCGCTGCGGAGCGTTGAGTTGATCGTGTCGAGCGAGTCGATACCGGAAGCGAGTCGCAACTCGGCTGGGACGACGTCGTTTTCGGATTATTTAATAGTTCAACGGGGTAATAATTATGATCTTAATTCTATTCTTAAAAAGCAAATTTGTTCTTCTGTGATGGATTCTTTTGTTTATAGCGACTGTCATAAGGCTGAAAAATAAAGAGAAAATAGGAAGAAAAATATTGAATGAGAAAATTCATGTACTTATTGAACTTAGTTTTATAGTAGCATAAATTTTCCCACCTTCACGCCTATGTGATTAATTTTTGTTTGTTGTGTATATTTATTGTTTCTTCCTTGTGGTCCGGTGTGAATTAATGAATGATTTGAACAGACATAAAATTTGACCGTGCAAAAAGTAATCCTTACAATTTGACTTTTTTCTAGATTATTTTAGGATTGTAAGGGCATTCGTCAAAGTATTAATAAAGAAAAACATTCTTAAATGTTATGCTTAAAATGAATTAGAAATCATAATAAAAAATGTTCTGTTTCTGCTTCTATTTGTTTGTTATTAAATGAATGCAGGTTATGGCTTTCACGTACGGACTAAAAATAACAATAAATGAATCATTTTATTTTTGTATAATTTTATTAAAATAATTTTACTTTTTCTATATAACTTCTCATAATAACATCATTCATACATTGTTAAGAGATAACAAATTATTAATGTTAATGTTAACAATTAAGTGAATGAGACTTGATTTTTAACTCAATTTTAACTCTTATTGTATATTTTGAAATATTTTAAAAGATTAATTTATTTATAATTTTTTTTTGAATTTAAATTTAATTTAAAAAATAATTGTTTTATTAATTATAAATTTTAAAACCTAATTAATATTTATTTTAATGAGATATAATTACTTAATTATTGTAGTTTTATTTACTTTTAATTGTCAAATATTTTAAAATTAATTATTTTTAATTATTATGATTAATTATAGTTATAACTAGGAACGGATCCACATAGTAAAGAGTGGGGGCACTTGCCCCACTACTATTTGACACACACACTAAAATCTATTGAAACAAGAACAGAGGTAATTGATTACTGATCCTAGTAATCGATTATCTCATGTCCGAGGAACCATAGAACTCATTTTTTAAAAGAGGTAATCGATTATTGAAGTTGGTAATCGATTATCTTGATGTTTTTTCAACTTGTTTCACTTATTTTCACTCAAAAGTCACCATGGTAATCAACTACATCAATAGGTAATCGATTATCACAGAGAGGATTTTGAATTCCACTTCAAATTTAAGTTTCAGTAATCTATTACCTCAAATGGTAATTTTAACTTGACTTAATCATGAATTCTTTTGAAAGAACCAAGTTCCATTTTATGTCAAAACACATTATAATCTCTTACATTATGTTTTCACATGAAATGAAAATATATAATTAGAAAGTTTTGTTTCGTTTATATTTTTAAATTACTCCAGGTTAGAAATTATGCAGCTAAACAAATTTTTAAACAAAATTATTTAATAAAACATAATCTTTACAAATATTTGGTTACAATATTGATACAATAAAACATAACAGAAAAGTATTTGTTTTGAATTTAGGTTGTCATGTTAGATATGTATTAGTGTTACATTTAACATAGCGATGGATGTGGTAGTTCAACATTTATATACCGAAACAACCATTAGTTTTGTAGTTTTCCGAAATACATGTTAGTTTAGTAGTTGTCTTTAGCTCATGGAATAAGGAAATCTATTGAACAACCTTTGTAGTTGGTTTTCCTTCTAGTAACTTACTTTTAATTTAATATTATAACAACTGATGTCATATTGAGCAAAAGAACTTTCCTTTTAATGAGATAAGGGTAAGAAGAGTTGAAAAAAATTATTTTGTCAATAGCCAATTACTTTACAAGCTAATTATGTTGTCAGGGAAAAATGTATGAATATATTCACATTTAATCTTTAATATCTTTGTTCAGAAGTTATTCTACTAGGTAAATGTAGAAATGTCCCATAGCTCCAATACAAAATTGGTTTTCATATCTAGACTCTAGAGTTAGAATTTCCCCATCTTCAATCTTGATAGAGCCTGGTTTCAAATACTAAATAGATATTCTAACTAGGTAACTTTTTTCATTTCCAGCTTCCTTACCCATTCCATATTTGGGTGTTGAAGTACATAAAACTCTTCCATCCTGAGTTAATGGATAACATAAAACTAGAGAAGATTCATTGAAATATTTTATTTCTTAGAAAAATAATGAATTCATGAAGAAACACTGTTACTTAAGAATATCTTTTTTTGAAAAAGTGGATGTGTAATAGCATCACTATGTGAAGGGAGATCCTAACTAGGTTAGCACCCCACTTCACATCCATCATATGCTCCACATCGAGAAAGCAAAAATTAAAAGTAATAGTAAATGTATAAAGTGGGGGGACCAAACCAAAACCCACCAAACACAAAACAAAGAAGAAAGATACAATGTAGAACCCACCCAATGTAATATAGAACACACAAAAATTGCATTCCCTACAGCCACTTATCTAAAGGCACCAAACACAAAAAAATTGCATTCCCTACAGCCACTTATCTAGAGGCACTTAACCAAAAAAAAGCCAACAATTAGATTGTAAGATGAAGGGTACCCAATGAAGAACTACCTGGAGAAGGTTGGATGGTCCAATTTTGCGGGCTGAGGTGCGACTGGTATCATGCACCTTATGCCTACTTCTAGGCATCGGCAATGGTGGATGTTATTTCCATTATTGAAATGGTGGACTAGATGGAGATTAGGTGGCCTACTCTGATGATTAAGAAGGCATCATCACTAATGTCATCACCAAGGAGATTGTGGACTCCATGATCTACCACTCAAAGAGCCCTACAAAGAAGACAAAGTTGAAGAAGTTTCTCCATGTGACTAACAAAAGCCACTTTGCAGGTTGTTGTTGTTGGTCCTGGGTAGAACACGAATCTAGAAAGGGGTTGAATAGATTCTTCGCTTAGATGGCTTCTATTGGTCTTTCTTGCTCTCTTGATAATTTTTTTCTTTCTTATACAACTTTTTACTAATCACATTCAGCTTATAAACCAAACAAGATACAAAGTATATCATATTTATTACACAATGAAATAAAAGCTAGAATCTAAATTGACTTTAGCAATTACCTTCCTTCACTTTATTACCAGATTGCATATATCATATAATGATTTTACAAATCAGCAATCTATAATATTCAAGAAAACATTTCTTTTACTATCTTGAAATTCTTTTTATCAATTCAATATGAATTATAACAAGATATGAAGGTAAAGAGAGAAATTGCAAAGTGATCTATACTGGTTCAACCATACAAAGGCCTACATCTAGTTTCAGACTTAGCTCCCTGCTAAATCCAGTCTTTCTACTATAATATTCTTTAGGCTTTACAAACACCATGTACTAGCAATATTTTAATCAAGAAACACAATCACCTAATCTTTATCCCAGAAGATTATACAATCACTAGAATTCTTACACCTCAAGAATCCACTTGAGAAAACCTATCTCAAGATTTCTCTTTCACTTTTTCTTGAGATGCCCTTATCTCAAAGAGTCACATACCATAGTACTTAGCTATACAAAATAAAAGGGTAAAGATCAGAATTAATACACTTGATGTGTATATTGATCTTCCATAAAGAATTGTTCAGCAATCTTGAATTTCTTGAACTTTTTTCAACATAACATCTTTCTTGAATTTGCTTTACTCTTTGATTTTTCTGAAAAATATTTGATCTTTACTAAAAAAAATGATTTTCAGATTCTTGAAAATGTTTTTCTTTTTCACTCTATGATCTTTCTAATCAAATATGTCATCTTTCTTTTAAGTTTTTTAAAAAAGTTATTTTTATAAAGCAAATAAGATTTCATCATTAAAATCTCATAATAGCAGTAATCTATTACCAATATCAAGTAATTTATTACCAATTTTTAATGAAACTAAAATCTATTGAAACAAGAACAGAGGTAATTGATTACTGATCCTAGTAATCGATTATCTCATGTCCGAGGAACCATAGAACTCATTTTTTAAAAGAGGTAATCGATTATTGAAGTTGGTAATCGATTATCTTGATGTTTTTTCAACTTGTTTCACTTATTTTCACTCAAAAGTCACCATGGTAATCAACTACATCAATAGGTAATCGATTATCACAGAGAGGATTTTGAATTCCACTTCAAATTTAAGTTTCAGTAATCTATTACCTCAAATGGTAATTTTAAAGAGGGATCTTGCCGAAGCCCGGGGATCGTTAGAGGTGGCCTTCCGTTCTAACGAGGCTTATGCTAGCCAGGTTCGCTCTTTGGAGGAGGAGATATCCTTTTGGAAGGGTGAACTGGCATCTGTATCTGAGGAACGTCTTTGTGACGAGGTGGTCCTCAGTACTAAGGAGGCGGAGGTGGTCCATCAGAGGGAGAATCTTTCAGCTTTAGAGGCCGAGAATGCAGCATTAAGGAAGAGACTCGAGGAAGTCGAGCGCTCAATCGTGGTGGAACATAAGAGAGGCTCTCTCAAGGCGGCCCGGCAGGCTAGGCTCCTTGCGCTGGGGTTCGACCTTTCCGGGATGCACTTGGAGAAGGTTGTCCGCTTCGGGCGGTTAGTCCGGGAGGACGACGTCGAGGAGAGTTCTAGTGACAATGCATCTGTATAGGATAATTTTTGTATTTCGTGTTTCTGATTGTCTTATGAATTATACCTCTCAGTTATGCAAGTTTTGTTTAGGTGTTGCTATTTCCACCCTGATTTTTGTTACCACGAAGTTCCGATTGGCTTTTTGCCCTGTGTTTTTGGTGGTGAGGTTTATTTGCAACCGTTAATAATGAGGTTTCTTTTTGTCTTGTGACGGGGTAAGATGGGGTTGGTTTGCGACCTCTATTTGAGTGAACTGAGGTTCGTTCTCGACCTCTATTTGAATGAAGTGGGGTTCATTTTCGACCTCTATTTGAGTAAAGTGAGGTTCGTTTTCGACCTCTATTTGAATGAAGTGGGGTTCGTTTTCGACCTCTATTTGAGTGAAATGAGGTTCGTTCTCGACCTCTATTTGAATGAAGTGAGGTTCGTTTTCGACCTCTATTTGAATGAAGTGGGGTTCGTTTTCGACCTCTATTTGAGTGAAATGAGGTTCGTTCTCGACCTCTATTTGAATGAAGTGAGGTTCGTTTTCGACCTCTATTTGAATGAAATGAGGTTCGTTCTCGACCTCTATTTGAGTGATGTG